CCTAGTACAGCACCTGCCACCTACGTGTTGGTTGAACTGAGTGGCAGAGTTCTTCAGCTCACATCTGGCTAGACTGGAAACACGCACACATGTCTACCAGGAGGTGCTGTGGGAGGGCCCTCTGCTTGCCATCGCCCTTTCGAGATGACTCACCACCTTGGGGATCAGGCAGAGCCAGCTGGCCCACAGCATGACCTGCTGCTGCTTTCTCCCAGGCTGGGCTCTAGGAGGCCTGAAGCCCTTTGTGTCTCTCTATGGAAAGAGATTAACTATTCTCTTTATTCAGTCTTAGATACACAATTAGCATACCTCTTTTCCCTTTAAAAAATCACAACATTGCATAATAACTAAAATGATCTTGACCCTGCTCCCTGAATCCCCGCCTCCCCAACCCCAACAGGTTTCATTGTGCACCTGCCAGGCATTTTCTTTTCTTTTTTAAGATTTTATTTATTTATTTTTAGAGGGGAAGGGAGGGAGAAAAAGAGGGAGAGAAACATCAGGGTGTGGTTGCCTCTCACCCACTCCCCCTCTGGGCACCTGGCCCCCAACCCAGGCATGTGCCCTGACTGGGAATCGAACCAGTGACCCCTTGCTTTGCAGGCTGGCGCTCAATCCACTGAGCCACACCAGCCAAGCCACCTGCCAGACATTTTCCTAAATTTTTCTTTTACATCCACATACTTGAACCTATAGAAAATATACAGTTTCATTTTGTGTGGTTTAATTTTACACGAATTGCATTACACTACATGTGTCATGCTGCAAATTGCTTTTTCCACTCAACAGTATGTCCTTGAAATAGCTAGGGATCTAACTCCTTCCTTGCCACATGGCTTTGCACTGAATGAATGTACACATTTGTTTTTCGGCTTTCCTGTTACTGGACCCTGTTGGATCTCAATTGCATTACAGACCCAAATTCTGCCATCAACATTCTTGTTTGTGTCTCTTGGCCCACACATGTATTTCTCTTGGGAACTCACCAAGTGCAGGGTCATGTTGTGGAACTTTCAGTTTTAATAAATAACGCTAATTTGCCCTTCAAAGTTGCTATGCTAATTGATTCTTCTACTAGCAGTATTTGAGAATGTCAGTCTGTCTTTGTCCTCACCAATACCTGATGTCATAAGTCACGTTAATTTCTGCCAGTCTGATGGGTAGAAGATGGTATCTTGTTTGAATCTGTTTCCTGATTTCTCTGAGGGTGAGCACCTTTGTGTGTGTGTTTAGTGGCTCTCCCCATTCTGTTCTCTAGGAATGGCCTGTGGGGACATTTCACATTACCTGCTTTATTCATCTTTTGCCTCATAGAGATAGTTTGAAAATATTTCCCCTAGTCTGTTTGTTATACACAGTTATAAAGTTATTTGTTAGACATGAGTTAAGTTTTAATGGAGCCCTGGCTGGTGGATTGTGCTCCAGCCTGCAAACCAAAAGCTCACCAGTTCGATTCCCAGTCAGGACACATGCCTGGGTTGCGGGACAGGTCCCTGGTTGGAGGCACACCATGTTTCTCTCTCACACATCTGTGTTTCTCACCCTCTCTTTCTCCCTCCCTTCCCCTCTCTCTAAAAATAAATAAATAAAATTTAAAAAAATTAATGGAATTAGTATATCAGTCTTATATTTCCTTTTTTGTATATACTGATCCTTATTTCTTTTTAAAGAAATCCTTTCCTTCCCCTAAGTTCATATTGATATTCTCCTATGTTGTGTTCTGATAATTTCCTGTAATTTTTTTTTTTTAAAAATAGAGTCCTAGGCCTCACCCCTCTTGAAGTGAGGTTAGAGGGACCTGGGAGATTTAGATGGACCGTGAGATTCGGGCAGTGCCAGTGTTTGGATGACCAGTCGCCTGCACTGTCCTCCCTGGCTACAGGCCACTCCTGGGAGGAAGACAGGGAGGCTCGTCAGGCCACCATGCACCCGGACATAGCTGCCTGCCTCCAAGTCCTCTCAGGTGCCCACATCGCCACCCTCCCTGCCCCCAGTACCTCAGCCCCCGGCATGGCTCCCCTGGCTCAGAGCAGCATTCACAGGTGCCTGCATGAAGGTGGCAGGCGAAGGACAGACTGTGGGCAGAACTGGGTTCCGTTCAGCAACTCTCTCTCCTGTGTCCTCCTTTGCCCAAGACATCATGGCCCTTCATAGGTTACCAGACAGCCCCTGTCCCCTAGGACAGAGCAGCCGATGGCTGAGGTGGTGAAGGAGTTCCCTAAAATGACACTCAAGAGGCGCACAAATGAGTCCCCCAACCAGCATCCTCTTGATCTTCTGAAGAACGACTGCCCTTCTCTTTAGTCCTTGGAAGCCCCTGTGTTTCTCCTAACTGCCCCGCGGTTCCGAAAAGCCAGGGCTCCCTCTCTCTCTGAGTGGTCCGTCTCGTGGTGACAGTTGCTTTTAGTTTCTTATGAAATCTCTCACAGGGCTTTGATGTCTCAATTGCATTGCCAAAAGTTGTTCCGCTTTGGGGTTTAGTTCTTCCTTTTTTTTTCTTTGCGGCAGAGGTGGTAGGTCTTTTTTCCCCTGAAGCCCCTGAGGCTGCTGGGCTTTATGAGGGGGTTGCCTGCTGACAAACCCCGTCGTCACTGACATACTCACTGACACCAACACCTGTGTCGGTACCTGTTTTCCCAGGGCCCGCCCTTTGTGAATGTAGGAAAAAGGGCAGAGTTGTCTCGTCTAGAAGGGGAGGGGGAGAGAGAAAAAGGAAAAAAGGAAAGGAGAAGCACCTATATTCATTTAGTTTTGTTTTCTGTTTCTTAAAAATGAAAGATTCCCATTAAGGAACAATGTCTTAAGTGTTGAGTAAAGAAAATAAGCTCTACCTACCACAAAGAAAATGTTTATAAGAATGAAAAGGATGACTTACATTTCTGATAATTTGGAAGACTATCTACATGTTTTCCAGTATGGAACTAGAAATTCTAGATAAAACACTTTTTAGAAATCTTTTAATACCTGACTGGACTGTTGGGAGAGGGTGGAAGATTCTTTCCCTAGATGGTAAGAAAGTACAGTCCAGACAGTTAAGCTTGTCTGGTGCTGGTGTTTGCTATGGGGCATCTGGCTGTCCATCTGTCCCTCCTAGGTGGTTCATACGCTGGCAGCGTACACGAGGTCCAGAAAAGCCAAGAAGATGGATTGAAAGGAATTCATCCCCGTGAAGACAGAATCCCAGATAGATTATGCTCTCAGAGGGTTAAACTGATGTGTGCGGGGAAGGGGTGCCTGAGAAAGAGAGGAGAAATGTATTTATCATCCCTTAGATCTAAATGAAAATTAAAAATTGGGGTGGGGTGGGAGTGGTGAATACCTGACCCCAAGTTTGTTAGCACATGTGTTTGGGGCCAGAATTTATACATCTGTGCGACCCACCACCAATAAATTTAAGCTGAAAATTAGGTTACACAGTGCTCATGATAGAATTTTTTAGGGTGATGGAAATCTTCTACAACTGGGATGTGGTTATGGGCACAACTGTAAATTTACTAAAATTCGAACTGTACACTTAAAAGGGGTGAATTTTAGCCCTGGCCGGGTGGCTCAGTTGGTTGGAGTGTCATCCCATATACCAAAAGGTTGCAGGATCGATCCCCAGTCTGGGCACCTACAGGAAGCAGCCGATTGATGTTTCTCTCTCACGTGATGTCTCTCCCCCCCCAGCCCCACCTCTAAAGTCAATAGACATGTCCTTGGGTGAGGACTTTTTAGAAAATGGGTTGATTTTTTGATATAAAATTATACCTCAAAGTGGTTTGTTCAAAAACCACCTACCATTCTTATAATCAGAGGTTTCTTTTAAGATTTTAGTATATTTCTCTGCATTTGTATTTCCTTGTAGGGATATCTTTTAACACACTAAAATCATAGTAAGAATGTTTTCATTCTCTTTTTCACTTAAAGTTTTAATGTCTTTTCCAATGTCACTGCAATTATTTGTAAATAGGATTTTTTTTACTTGGGTTTTTAATATGTATTACAAATGTACACCTTGGACACTCTCTCATTTTAAGATAACTTCAAGCAAAACAGTTGTGTATAGAGCAAAAATTGAAGTTCTCTCATTGATATTTCCCCTCCCCTCCACCAACCACACATACTCCTACCCCCAGTTCTCACTTCCCTTCCCATAGGTAACCACTGTTCACAGTTTGGTTAAACATAATTTTTAAATGGGTATATAATTTTCCATGTGATGGGGAAAAATCATACTCACAATGTTCCCTTATTTGGGGGCATTTAGGTTGTTTCCTAGTTTGGCTATTTCTTTTAAGACATGTAGCAGAGGATTCCATTGGAGGTAACTCAGAGCAGGCGGTAGATTTAATGGTCCCAGCTATTTCATTGTCATCAGAATAGGCACTGAGTTAGATGCTGAACTTGGAGATAACTTTCGAGAGAAGGAACCCAGCATACGCCGAGGACCCCATGCTAAATTTTTTACCTGTCCTCATTTAATGCACCAAGCATCTTGCGAAAGGAGGCATTATTCCCATCTTTCAGGTGGAAAATCATGGTCCAGAGGGGCAAGTGCCTTGCCCAGGATCCCACACCATCCAGTGCAGAGCTCAGCTCTACATCGCTTGACACCAACTAGAGGGCTTGGTGGTTCTATAACCAAGCAGGGGACTCTGCCATCTTCACTTAATTTAGGTGAACACCGTCACAGTGTAAACCTCCCGCTGTCTGCAAGGAAGCAGTGAAATGTTACTGAGATTCTTGGTTTGTTTGTGTTTTAGCTACAGTTTGAGCACCTAATGTGCAGTAAACGTCGCACTGTTGCTTCATGTACTTTATGTCAGGCCTCGCAGATAGTGCTTTGAGAAGGATGGGCATAATCTCCATTTTTCAAATGAGAGATCTGAAGCCCAGAGAGGTAAATAACATTGCCCAATGTGACTCAGAGGAGGGACTCAGATTCAGGCATGTGTGTCTCCAGCAGGCTGGTGAATCCAGGCTACACTTCATTCTGCTCTCTGTCTCCTTCCTCCCAGACAACAGCGATCTGATCGCGTGCACAGTGGTCACCAAGGATGGCGGCATGGTCCAGCGATTCCTGGCCGTCGATATTTACCAGATGAGTTTGGTAGAACCCGACGTGTCCAGGCTTGGCTGGGGAGTGGTCAAGTTTGCAGGCCTCCTACAGGTACGACAGCCAAGAACCCCAGAAGCTGTTCTCTGCTAACTCCACAATCACACATGAGTACCATCTTTACAGCTAATTTCTAATGACACTAAAACCACATGAAGAGATTATTATTGAAAAAAAATTAAACTAGCTCACAGATACGGGTCAAGTTCTCTTGGACCCAAACCCAGTTCTTATACTCTACTCCTCCCATTATCAATAATCCATCCAGATCCATTCTCTGCCAAATACATATTTAAATATAACTACCTGTACTCTTTGTTTATAAATTGTGTACATATACATGAGGGAGGGTTCGTGTGTGTATTTTTTATAGTGTCACTTTGAGCGTAGTCTAAACTTTCCTCTTTTCACTCAACATATATCTTAGAGAACTAACCACATGAGTATATGCAGGCTTACCGGTATTTTTTTTTTTTTTTAATTGCTGCCTGACTGTACCGGAGCATGGTTAGCCAGTGCCCTGTGGCTGTGTCTAGCTTTTTACCTTTAGAAACAGTGCTGTTGTGAACAGAATTGTCCTTACTTCCTTGTGTACTTAGGCAGGGTTTTCCCTAGGCAGATCCCAAAAAGTTGGGGTATGCCTAATTTCAGCGTTCATAGACACTGCCAAATTCCTGTCTAAAATGATTGTTGCCACGGGCAGTGTGTAATAGTTCCTTTGTCATCACCCCTTCTCCAGCAGAGCTGGGCTCAAAATTGCCAAAAGCCAAGGTGGGGCTTGGATTTTCTCAGTGTTTGTCTCTGTGATAGGTGACTAATGCCAGCTGGTTGATTGAATGAAGCATACCAGAAGAGTTAAAAAGAGCTTTCTAGCTCACACCTCCATCAGCCCCCAGTCCCCGAATGTCCAGTTGACTCTCACGGGCCCGAGATTTGCCCTGCTCTGAGGCAGTCTTTTTCCTTGCTGGGCAGGCCAGGCTGTTGGCAAGGCCTTGCTCAGGCTGACCCACATCCGCCTCTCCTCAATGTGACCCGCTGGCAGCGTGCCACTCACTCTCCAAGAGAACCACCCACGTGTCTGAAGATGCTGTGGCGACCTTTTTCCCAACCTCCTCTTTTTCAAGATCTTTCCATTTGAGAAATATCTTTGACCAAGGGTGATGTGAGAAACGACTATATGAAGAATCTTTTATTTATAAAAAGACTTCCGTGTAAGTGGTTGTCTATTAGGTGACTTAGTGCTTCTTATTTATCTAGGCTTATGATCAATTTCCTTTAGAACTTAGCGTTAGGAAAGTGTTTTTCTCCCTCAAAGGATTAATACATGTCCTCCATCAGACAATGAAAGCCACATAAACCTTTTCTTTTGGTCGTCTTCCAATAGCCACTATTTGCCAGGCCTTTACTCTGTGCCAGCCTCTTCGTTTTAAATGTGTAATATCTCATCTAATCCTCACTGCAACATTTCCATGCAGGTATTATTTCCAAAGAGCTTGTGCCAGATTGAATGCCTGTGAACAGCAGCCATCTTAATGAGCCTTTTTCAACATTTGTCCTGCCTCCTGTAGCATGTCTGACATTCATGTCTATCTCCTGTCTCAGGCTTTTATCTTAAATCACCTCGAACCTTTGCGGGAAGCAAATTCTTTACATGGAATCCATTTTGAGATTTTAAATTGGATTTGTCCTTAGTACACTTGGTATATGTAAGTTCCTTCTCTGGCTTTCAAATGTAGTTTTCTTCAAATGCCTGCTAAGTGACCCTCTCTTCTCGTTTTCAGAGTTAGCTTTTTCCTTTAGTAACTAGAAAATCTTCAGAAACATACAAATCGGTGCTAATGATGCCCCCTCCTTAAGAGAAACAAGGAAGAAATTGGTTTGTAGATGAGTTAGTATAAGTTTGTGCTAGATGGCGTAGAATTTTGGTTACCGCTGGCTTCTCGAACGTAAGAATTTTGGAGCTTGACTGGTGGGTTTCCCACGGCCCCTTGAAAAGGCTAGCGTCCCCTTTTGTTCACTCGCTGACTCAAGCCCTCCTGTGGACAGTGCCCCCGCCACAACCAGCATTGCTCCTTTTAAGCACTGTGCGCTTCCCATGCTCTCTTCTCCTGCTAGGCCTGGTCTGGGTTGTGTCCATCCTTGACTGTCGTAGACTTGGGAAGCTGATGGTCTCCTTCAGAGCAACAGCAAAGTTGAAATTGGGTGGGGCGGGGGTGTCTCTTATAGATAAGACATAGAACCCACGGCTTCTGAGCAGTCGCCCTTTTCGTGAACATAATGAACCATTTTCTTTCACCCTCCCCCCCTGCAGGACATGCAGGTGACTGGTGTGGAGGATGACAGCCGTGCCCTGAATATCACCATCCACAAGCCTGCATCGAGCCCCCACTCCAAGCCTTTCCCCATCCTCCAGGCCACCTTTGTCTTCTCGGACCACATCCGCTGCATCATTGCCAAGCAGCGCCTGGCCAAGGGCCGCATCCAGGCGAGGCGCATGAAGATGCAGAGGATAGCTGGTGAGTGGTTGGTCCCAGTCCGGTATCCTCTGAGCCCTTGGGGACAGAAGCAGCCACAGGGCTATCAGTGTGGTTGTCACATTAATGTTGAGAACCAGCCCCCCAACCCCTCCCAAAGAGGACACACATGTGGTTCAGGAATTTATTGTGTTTTGGTGAGAGAATGGAGAATCTGCTCAGAATTTCCCACTTCCTAAGTATTTGATTCCTAGAGTTTCTAGGGTTGCATGGACGAGAAGGCAAGCTCTCACAACCAGGGACATGAGGAGGCCGCGAATAGGCAGGCGTCAGTGTGGGACAGCTGTTCTCTTTCCTGCACACAGATATTGTCCAGCTTTAATGTTTATAAAATGCTTCGACATTCCCCTACCACCTTTGATTCTTAAAACAACCCTTGAAATCAGTGGGGCCTGTTCTGTCCATTTTATAGAACAACAAACTGACGTTCAGTGACTTACCCAACATCACACAGGCAGCTAGTTGGAAGAACCCAAATGTAGAACTTCCTGCTCTAAAGCCTATTCCTTCCCAGCTCTCATGAGACTCCACCCTGCTTGGTGAGGGGCCAGGACCCAGACCTGAAATCAAAAGTTGTTTTCCATTTCACAGGGATTGTGGAGAATTTGAAAGCAAGCCCAATACTGCCCAGTGTCTGGAAGGCCCCAGCTTTCTTAGAAGTAAAGGCACTGAGATAAGGGCATTCCATTCATCAGGACAGAAGCATAGCCTGTTTCTTGGGGAAATGGCATTCTATCAAGTACTAAAATTATAGTCTTTCTCAAGACACCAACGCCTTTCATTCAGTTCAAGTGCTAATGCTCATTCTGGTGTGATCTCTGGGAGGCTTTCCAGCCCACTGGGGGAGGAGGAGAGCTTTCTTTACCTAAAATAAAGACTCAGAGGGCAGGGTTTCTGGATGTTGTGGATTCTGTTATTTCTTGCATAAGCCCCGTTGATTTGTGCAGGCCTGCATTCCGTGTAGTCCTCATCTTATTTCTCACTTAGCCGAAACTTGGCCTACAAAATCATTACAGAAGCATTTTGTAATGTGCAAAGTGACTTAAATCATTCAGCCCTTTCTTTTAAGATTTATTTTCGTAGGGTTTTTTTTTAATGTAAAGCAATTTCTCACAGCTGGCATGAAAGCTAAATATTTCATTTGAAAATTGAGAATTACGCCATAAAGTGACTGTGAGAACTAACGCCTTGGGTATTTTCTTCTATTGATTTTTTAAAGCCCCTCCAAATTGCCATATCGTGAGATTGTTTATGGAAGGGAGGAAGCAACTGTGACAAATAAACACACAGCCATAAATATACATATACATAGGTGTGTCTTTTCTCTTACCTACTCCTCGCCATGCACACACACGTGAACTTTCAGGGCAGAATTGGCCCCATCTCAGGCTAAGCCTTGGCCTTGTGTGTGTGGAAACCAAGGAACCTGGGTAAAACCTCGTTCTTCGCCCACTCCTGAACCCTTCTCCAGGCACCAGCCATGTATTGAGACTCAGGCAGGACCTGTGGTGTCTCTCTGGCTTCCCCAGCTTGAGGTTGCCAGTTGCCTGCTTTGGCATCACTCAAGGGATATGCCTGGCAGGGCCACAGCCACTCTGGCTAAAACCGCCCACCCAAAGTCTCATTGTCTAGATGCCTGTCCCATGCACTGAGCATGACCACGGATTTGTTTGAACGTAGCCCTCCTGGACCTTCCGATCCAGCCAACCACTGAAGTCCTAGGATTTGGACTCGGCTCCTCCTCTTCCTCCCAGCACCTGCCTTTCCGATTCTATGACCAGTGCCGCCGAGGCAGCAGTGACCCCACAGTGCAGCGCTCTGTGTTCGCGTCCGTGGACAAGGTGCCAGGTGAGCCGGCCCCACCCTACGCCACCACTTGTCCCCTTTCTGGGGGTTCCAGGGCTTTCCCTCTGTTGAGCCTGTGTAAACTTCTCCCTTTCTCAGAAATCTAGCCATTTGGAAGCACCAGATAAATTTCTTAGAATTTATCAAAGTGTAGCACAAGATTAAACACAAGCCACAGAAAGAAATTTTGGCTTTCTCTTTGGTGTTCTGCTTCCTGGCTTTGGTTTTCCAGAGATTTCTTGGGGATGTGGAAGGACTTCTCAGAATTAAGAAAAAAGTTTCTTGGAAATTTCTTGGAAGTACTTAGATGATTAGTAATGAGGTTGTGGAAGAGTAATTTCCTTTTCCATGTAGGATGACTAGAAGGAGATAGTGTGTGTGGTTCCTGCTGTAACCCCCTAAAGAACTGAGACTTCAGAAGAAGGTCCTGGTCACTGCCCACGGAGCAGCTGCCGCAGGCTCCAATCTGGGAGCCTCTCTAACCACTTTCAGCCAAGCTCATCTCTAACCCCCTCCTCCCCTCTCCCAACAAGGAAACATGTATAGAAAGTTTAAGGTCCGCTTAATGAGAGCAGAAAGAACTGCTCCAGAAGGGCGGGCTCTCCCCTTCCTGTTCTGACACTTCTGATTTAAGTAAATCCACTTGCGCACCCCGCCTCAAAAGAGAACCTTGCTCTTCATTGCAAAACTTCTGAAAGCAGGTCCTGCATCCCCACAACTTAACCTCCCCACATTTAGGGTTTCAGACTCAGCTGTGAATGTTGCAAAATGTTTTCAAAAGCAGTTATCGATTTAAGAACAAAATGCAGCCGTAAGAACCTATCAAAAATCAAGGCCCTTGTTTCCCTCCCTCACCCCCATTGATTTATTCTATTTTCATTCTTTGATTTGCTTAATTCATTTTAGAAATATATATACTATAAATATGAGATATTTGAAAATTCAAACAGGATATGATAAAATTAAAAATCTACTTGGCTCCAAAGTAACCACTTTTAACTATTTTTCACATATTCTTTCAGAAATGTTTGGTTGTATGTCATGTATATGTCTTTGCTTGTCTGTTTTTACACTGGGGTTATCGCCATATGTGATTCTGCACCTGTCCGTTTTTACCTAATAAGGCAGAGTTACATGCTAACACATATAAATTGACTTCATGCTCATTAACTGTTGGCATTTTATGATACAGAGGGACCAAATCTTTTATAATATTTATGGCCATTTGGGTCATTTCCAGGGTTTAGCTCTTCTAGGGCCACTGTGCACAGCCTTGGGGTATCTGTGCAAATCTCACATGTCTGTAGGATAAACTCCCAGCAGTGGATGTGCCATCAAAGAGGAGATTTTTCATCTTGATATATGTAATCCCAGCGTGCACCGTGGAAAAAGTGCACCAGTTCAAGCTTCCACCCAAGCCAGGGACTGGTTTCGTTCTTAAAACTAGTATCAGGCTGCAAGACTGATGATAGCACTGCCTGCTTTCAGCTATGAAATGAGAGATGACTCCACAAGCTCTAGGGTCTGAAGTATTCTTCGTTAAACATTTTCCAGGTTGCTTCATGTTCTGTAGAGATGGTCGCTAAGTAAATATAAATGATGACCATGAGTCTAAGTTAACTAAATACGGATTGGCCCGGTAAAAAAAAAAATCAATCCTTCCTTCTTCCCTTGCTTGCTTGCTTGCTTGCTTCCTTCCTTCCTCTTTTCTTTCTTCCATCCTTTCCCTTTCTTTTTATGCACAGTTGTAATTTTATTTTAAATTTATAAGCACCACTTTGTAATTTTTATTGAGATATAATTGACATATAATAGTAGTTTAGAAATAATTTCTTTAAGGTCATTGGGGCTTCTTTGAGCTTGGGATCTAATGTGTTAAGGAGAAAAGCGCAGGCCTTATTTCCGCTCCATCCTTTTTGAAGCAAGGCAAGTGTAAATAAACAGAGCGAAATGTCACATTCTTCAGTATTTGCATAATCATCTCCCTGTTTGCAGTGGGCTTTACAATGACTTACTGCTTACTTCTCCCGCCCTGCCTGGGCTCCAGTGTTGCTTTGGAGTCATCCAGTGCTGGGGTGTGGCCATATCTACAGTGGCCTGCGTGACATGGAGGTTGGCACAGCTAGATTGCCCAGTGTCTTGTTGCCAGTCCCAGGGTCAGGGTATGTGAGGTTGGGCCAGCTGGAACTATGACATGTCCAAGGTAGTTGCTTGAAGGCGACCATCCACCCTTTGGCTGTCTCTCCCCTGGAAGTGCCACTCAGGTGTAGGGTCAGGTGGGGACATTCTCACACGTGTGCTTTCCAAGTTGACTATTCTAGGCTTTTGTCTAGAGAGGCTTCACACCCATCCTGCCTTGGCCTGGGCTGTAGATGGTACCTAACAAGCAAGTTGAAACCACCAAGAGTCAGTATCATTCAGAGAAAGGGAGGGAAGCTCTCCCTGGCTCCCACCATCCTCACCACCTGCTGTCTCAGCAGTTGGCCCCACAGCCACCCAAGCATGTCAGAATCATCTGAGTCCTCCTCTTCCCTCTCCCACACCCACTGGCATGCTCTGCTTACAGAATATATTACACTTTTTCTCCCCCTCCCGGCCACTGGTATCTCTCCCTAGATTGTGGCAATGGCATCCTCAATATTCTCTTGCTTTTAGTCTCATCCCCTCTCTCCCAGTCAACCGGTGGGATCTTTCTGGAAGATAAATCAGATCATACCATGCTCCTGCCTGCAACCCTCCAATAGCTTCCAGTTGCTCTTAGAACACAGTCCAGATCTTCCACTGATCCTGTGTGATCCATGAGATCGGCCCTCAGACGCAGCTCCCCGACCTCACAGTTGTACCAGCCCCGGCTGCTCCTCTAAGTCAGCACTTGCCCATATTTTGGCCTCAGGACCCATTTATACTCTTTTAAAAAGTATTGAGGGGCCCAAAGAGCTTCAGTTTATATGGATTATATTTATTGACATTTCAGGATTAGAAATTAAAACTGAGAAATCCTTTAAATGTTCACTTATTTTAAAAAAAAATAACCCCATCCCATGTAAACATAACACGTTTTTTATGAGCAGCAATTTTTTCAAAACAAAAAAATTAACGTTTTATATTTTTACAACTGTCTTTAATATCTGGCTTAGTAGAAGACAGCTGGATCTTTGTGTCTGCTTCTGCTTTCTGTCTATTACGATAGCATACGTTATGTGACCTCTGGGAAGCTCCTCTGTATGCTCCTGGAAGAATGAAAATAAAAGGAAAATGTTGTCTTGTTATTTTTAGGAAAGCAGTTCTGACTCCGGGAGGCCCCCAGAGTTCCCCAGGCCATCCTTTGAGAACCACTGCTCTAAGTGTGGTTCTCAAACCCTCCCTCCTGCCTCAGGACCTTTGCATTGGATGTTCTTCTCCAGATCTGCCTCTTACTAATTACTCAGGTCTCAGTTTCTTAAAGAGGCCTTTTCTGATCACCCACCCCTGAAAAGTTACCCCTTCCCCTTCATCACACTAACCCGGTTTATTTTCTCTGTGACCTTGGGTCTCTTACCTGGCCAACATATCTTTGTACCTGTCCGTGGCCTTTCTCCACGATAGAGAATGTCACTTCCATGGCATCCTGGTCTGTCCTGCCCACACTGTGTCTCAGTACCTAGTGCTCTGCCATCATTTACTAGATGTTGAACGAAGAGTGAGTACAGCCTTGGAGCAATTCCCACCTAATGCATTCTCCCTGCATGAACATCAGGAAGTAGAGGAAATTCCCTGAGGCCCTACACATTGGATGGTTTAGTCTGTGGCACTTTGACTAGGGAACATGAGTGAACCCAGACCTCAGAAGATCGTAAGCATCATTCTTATGCTTAATTTCCATCACCAAAGTGAGCAAGATGTGCGTCCCCGGAGGGCAAATGCCCTGGATGGTATATTTGGGTCAGTTGCACAGTAACTGGCCTCACATTTTTTTAGAGGTTTTCAAAAGCCAAAGAGTGGGCCGGAGGGAGTCATCAGAAACACAGCCCATGCTGGTCCCCGATGCTGTGTCCTCCACAGCTGCCATCCAGACCTGTGAGCCCTGCGGTATTGCTGTGTCCCCTGGCACAGGCTGCACTGTTGCAGACCCCCAGGCCGTGTGGGGTCCTTAACTCTCAACACCTGTTTCAGGGTAACTGCTGGAGGAGCTATCGTTGTCATGACACATCTTCCAATTTTATCTGCAGGCCCAAGTAGTTGTCATAGAACAGTCTGTTTCCCCTTTAGAAGCTATAAATGATTACATTTGATGAAAATATACCTTTCATTTCCTTGGAAGAGATATTAAAGTAGAATATAAATCAGGGCTAATAGACGACTGGCCACTTTCGTATATTTTTCTTCTTCCATTTGGCTTGGAAAGAAATCACCAACTGTGTTTATTGGCTGGTTTTATGTTGATGGCTCTTGCCCCCACAGGACGTTGGGCTCTCTGAGGGCAGGGTCTTGTGTGTGTGCCTTGGCCTAGGAGGGCGCGGTCCATGGTGACCCACGCGTTGGGGTAGGCAGGTAGGACTGGCTCTAGAGTCTGGCTCTGAGGCGTGGTTCTCTGGAGTTAGCACCCTCAATTATCCGTCCCACTGACCTATGGTGACAGCTGAATGCCAGAAACTGCCAGTCGGGGAGGGGGCTGGGGGAATTTCCAAATGAGCCCACCAGGGCAGTCTCTCCATGAACACTGAGAGGGCCAGCAGACCCCAGAGCAGAAGCTGCTCCTCAGAAGTGACCCTGGCCATCGAGGGCAGCGGCCTCCAGTCACAAGGCCAGGCTCTGGCCTCCTGGAGCAGCCTCCTCAACTCCCTCTCCTGGGCTCCTTCTGGCCGAGAGGCTGCTCCCAGGTATTTACCAGGTGGCGGGGCGGGGCGGTGGGCAGAACACCACTGTCTTTCTTGTTTGGATTCTTCCCAGGCTCTTCCTAATTCTTATCTAAACAAAAGGGCTCTGCAGCCCAGAGAGCATTATGGGGTTTGAGTTGGAGAGTC